TAGTTTATTTTTTTTTTTTTTTATTTTTTTTTTTTTGTTTTTTTAGTTTTTTAGTAACCGGTCTTACGAACCATCTCACCATCGATCCCACTATCTCCATCTATCGATCTCACTATCGATCGGTCTCACGATCCATCGATCTGACTATCTACTTGTAGATCGATCTCACAGGACAACCATCGGGACACCATCGGGACACAATTGGGACACCATCGGGACACCATTGCGACGCCGTCGGGACACCATTGGGACACCATCGGGGCACCATTGGGACACCATCGGGGCACCGTCGGCACACCATCGGGACACCGTCGGAACACCATCGGGGCACCATCGAGACACCATCGGGACACCATTCCATTTGGACACCATCAGGACATCATGGGGATGCCATCGGGACACCATTTGGACACCATCGGGACACCACGTATGTGGACACCATCGGCACACCAGGTATGTGGACACCATCGGCACACCATGTATGTGGACACCATCGGGACACAATCGAGACACCATCGGTACACCATCGAGACACCGTCGGTACACCGTCGATACACCATCGGGACACCACCTGGACACCATCGGGACACCCCTGGGCCACCGCCAGCCAACTGGGGGGCGCAGCATTATTTGCCCCGGTTTCGCCCTAGAAACGGCGGGTTCATTCCACTCGCCCGCCCACGCAGCTTCGCCTCGCCCCCACGCACGACACGAACGCGAAACCGAAACCGAGCTCCTGGTGGGGGGTCTTCGTTTTTCTTCGATCGCACCCCGCTCTTCCGACCACACAGCGTTCACACACAGCTGACACCACATATTTTACACCGCATACACATAATTATACATATATACACATGTACATATATAAATATATATATATATATATACACATACGTATCGTAGATCGCACCGCATAACTCGCACCACATAGTTTGCACCACACGTCTGACACACCTGCAGTGCCATAGGCCATCGAGGACTGCTTGTGGTCCACGCCGGCAAACACATCTCGCTTTCACAAGATATCCGCGGATTTCTAATATATATATATATATATATATAGAAATATGAATATCTTGTTGCGGCCAGGAACCAGGAGGGGAAACATCACACAGACACAATTAATCGTCGATCCCCGGGAACATATAGGAAAGTATGCGACGTGGGGGGGGACGACGAAAACTTAGAAAATATGCAGAAAGGTATGGGGAATCTTGGGCTTCGTGTGTATGTATTTGTATTTGTCGTGGCTCCGCCTCTTGGCCTCTTCCACCGCCCCCACGCTGTGCTACGGTTTCGCCACTCGCGGCGCTATCGTGGCCGCCTGCGTCCTGCTTCCGCCTCTCGGCGCGCCTAGTAGGCTTTTTGGTCGCGGCGCCTTGACCCATCTCTGGGGCCGTCTCCCATTTCGGTCCTCAGTGGTGTGGTTTCCGCTTCGCATGTGTTGCCCCCCCCCATCCGGTTGCCTGGTCTGTCAGGCCGCCATACCCCTTCCCAGCTGCAGCTCAGCGCGGCCGCTGGTCCCCCCCCCCCCCCCACGGCGCTCCCCTCCGCCGCAGCTGGGGACTTGCCTGAGCGGGCCCGGCTTCCTCTCCCCCCGTCGCGCTGGGGCCTCTTCCTCCTCCCTCGTGCATATTGCGGCTCAATTTGCATTCCGAGCGGCCGCCCCCCGTCTGCCAATCCGCCGGAGCAGTCACCCCATGCCCAGCCGCCGACGCAACAAAAGAAGTATGTATTTGCGTGTCCCTGGGCCCCTTTGAGGAAGCCGAGCCAGCAGCCGCCGCGGGCCGAGCGGAGACCGCGCTCCCCAGCCGCTGCGCCGCGGGGCCCGCCGCGCGGCCGGAGGTCGCCGCCGCAGGCGCCTCGGCCGCCCCGCTGGAGGCCGCCCCTGCGGCAGGCGAGCGCGGCCGCCCCGAGGTCGCCGCCGGCGACGCCCCAGGGCCATGGCCTGCGCCGGAAGCGGACGTCGGGGCTCGATAAGAATCGTAAGTCGGGCCTGTGCCTCTACTGGAGGAACATTCACAAATAGTCAAAACATAGTCAGGGCACTATTTCTTTGTTTTGTTGTGATTATTCCCAACCCTCCTTGGTTGGGTATTCGTTTTGCATAGAGCAGTGTGGTCTCCACTCCTTCCTTCCTTCCTCCTCCTCCCTCCCTGCCTCTTCCTGTCTTGCCTGCGGGGGGCTGCGATCTGTGAAACTGTCGCCACTTTCGAGGCCTGCTGGGGGGCCCAGCACAGTGGGTACACACGGCGGACTCAAATGTGACCTCGCCATCCCTGGGGGGCTGCGATCTGTGAAACTGTCGCCACTTTCGAGGCCTGCGAGGCCTGCTGGGGGGCCCAGCACAGTGGGTACACACCGCGGACTCAAATGAGACCTCGCCATCCCTGGGGGGGCTGCGATCTGTGAAATTGTCGCCATGTTCGAGGCCTGCTGGGGGGCCCAGCACAGTGAGGGCGACGCGCAGATTCAAATTAGACCTCGCCATCCCTGGGGGGCTGCGATCTGTGAAACTGTGGCCACTTTCGAGGCCTGCTGGAGGGCCCAGCACAGTGAGGGCGACGCGCAGATTCAAATAGGACCTCGCCATCTCTGGGGGGGCTGCGATCTGTGAAACTGTCGCCACTTTCGAGGCCTGCTGGGGGGCCCAGCACAGTGAGGGCCACGCGCGGATTCAAATTAGATCTCGCCATCCCTGGGGGGGGCTGCGATCTGTGAAACTGTCGCCATTTTCGAGGCC